CAATCCAGTCATGGAGATGTTCAAGTTACAATCACACATTTCTGCAACTCCACCTAGAAGTAAAAACTTGACCAGATTTAAATTAGGCTTAATCTTTCTTTCAAGGTTTTCTCATAGGGCAGAGTTGCATGTCTCTTTCACTGCATCAGAACAGGGACGGTGACTCTACAGTTTCACTTTGAGGAAGAAGAATCAGTTGCAGGAATCCAGAGTAAGGTGATTGCTGAGGAAAGTTTGTGATTCGAGCACAAAAACCTTTGTGGCTGTTTGATGAGGTGAGAGTGGGCGAACTGTGGAATATGCTAAAGTAAGTTCACTGGTGAATTTCATTCATTGTGAAATGAGTGTGGTAGTCCCTAAATGGCAGCGACATATTGGCTCATTGGGAAGACTGCACTATCCAACTTCCCTGCTTACTTATCCCAAACAATCTCCAAGCTACCCAGCGCCTCCCGTCTCTCTGTCGCACAGAGACAGAGAAAGAATAGAAGAATACGAGAAGCACAGATAAGCAACGTGGCCACAGCATCTTGCTGATGAACATCATTTACAGCAGCACTAAACCATGTAAGAAGGACCTGTTCTTAAAAAACAAACACACGTCTCTGCTACGTTGTGCCTACCAGTACCCGCACAGTGGATATACATCAGCAGTACGTTGCTGGAGGACTGTTTTACTCAATGCACTGGTAATAACTATCCAATGTTTTCAACTACATACCCTGGCAGAGCTTTTGGGTCTGCACAGCAGCTTTTTATGGTCTGTTCTACTGCTGTCCCAAACTGGCTCGACATGAAGATGTGGATTTTGCTAGTTGGATAGGCCCAAGAGATTTTTCAAGTAAAAAGTAATGACAACGATTTGCAGGAGACATCATTAACTGTGAAGTCAGGAGTGGTTATTCCACGTTACAGTCATTGCCCAGTGTCAGTATTAAACTCGAGTATTTAAACATTCGTCTGCAAAGCTCATTGCATGCTCTGTGTAGGTCCTTCAAGTTGTTTGTATATTATTCCCCAGGACTTTGGAAGCGTTGAGAAAATACAAATGGAAATCCTTTTTGGAACTTTTGGTGAAAAATCCTCTTTAGAGTTCAAAGTGAGGATGAACTCACCATTAACAGCAGGTATCACCACCAATTTGAGGACCCCTTGAAAGACATTTTCCAGTGGTCCCACCTGTAGGTTAGATGTAGGGTTAGTT